TCCCTCCTCCCGCCATTTCTCTGTCCTATTTTGTGTTTAATACGTGCGAGATTAAATGCGCGTTAAGTGCTCAGGCAAGACTTATCCAATGAAAAAGGAAGAGAAGTAGTAGAAGAAGTTAAAGAAATTATGGCAGCGACGCGAATCTCATCCATACGTGAGACTTCCGCAGTTTTCAGAAAGTTATCTTCCCACGAAAACTGCTACAATCACTATCCCTCGATAATTGTTCGATATATTCCCTATCTTTATAGAAATTATATAATTGACAATCAACGAGGCGTGGTATCATGATACGTTAATATATTGATTAGCAAATATACACACGCGATTGACAATTGGCGAAATGTAGTTATATTCGAACGAGGAAGCGATACGTGTGTGCCGGAAATGTCGCCAGTCGTTGAGAGAACAAATTTCACGGTACGTCTACCCGAGTCGAAATTTTGATTCTACATTGACCCTGCAAATTCCGTCGAACTTGAAAAGTCAAAGAAGAATCCGAGATATATAAGCTATTGACTTACCTTGGATACACATGGCTGCTTACTGAAGATCTTTTCCATGTTAAGGATGCATTGCCCGTATTTCAAAAATAGTGAAAAAATCGTGAAACAATTAGAGATTAAATTATATTGCATCTAAAAGATCATAAATAATTTGATTCAGAGTTTGGATCAAAAGTTATTCCACTTTGAAGTCTGTAAGCTCAACAAACACGATGACGTCAAATGACGTTTAAATAAAATGCATCAATGACGTCTTTGACATCAATAACATGTCATTAATACGTTATTTGATGTCACGCTTTGAAAGTATTTTAAATCGTGCTGTCATGGAAATATATAATATTGCTATCGTATTAGTAAAAAATAAAATAACGACAGAGAGAACTTTAAATTTTATACATGTACCTCAAATATTCAAAATGATGTATACAATGTTTTATCGCGATTCAGAGTTAAAAGTTTAAAAGTCAGAGATAATATAAAATAAAGTAAGTAAATGTAATGTGCGTTAAAGTGAAAATATGCAATTATTAAACTATCGTATGTATGTATATGTATCATACATTTTAAAAAAGAAACATTAGCCTATTTACCATTAGTCAATTTTTAATTACTTTTTGCAGAGATTATACGGGCAATACATCCTTAAAGAATCTTGAAGAAGCATTCGTTTATGAATAATTTTATATTTGAGCTTTTCTCGTTTATTAATTTTAATTTTAAGGATTAATGCTTTTAATTATTTTTGTGATTATTTAATATTAGATTATCTCGATATATTTTAATAGGGTTTCACCCCTATAGACTACGGACCGCTTGAAATAGGCGCGATTTGACGATGAAGACTCGAGATTCGATTTTTACGTCGATGTTTTTGATCAAAATAATATCTAAGAACACACGACGCGATCAAAGCCGTTCCTTAGCTCCGCGGAGAAAATGTCGGAAAAATTAAGTAGCCGAATGCATCGAATGCACAAAACCAACACTCGCTCATTGCTATTCGCGATAATTATCCCACGCGGCAGGAATACTTCAAAAAACCCAATGCCATACATGAGACTCCCTGGAATAATAAAAAAATATCCTTCCACGGGCTAAAAACAAACTGCTGCAATCAATTATCGCTCAACAATTGCTCGATGCTCCATGAGCGAAGTGGCGTTATTTTACATTAATACGTTAATTGGCAAATGTGTACGCACGCGATTGGAAATGAGCGAAGTGTGGCTATATTACCTACCTTATATACGTGTATATTATCTGTGTCTGTAGTATATTACCTGCCTGTAATATATCACCTACCTTAAATGAACTCTGCCGAACTCTGCCGATGCGCGTATGTGTACATTCGATGCATAAAAACCACTCGCCAGTTGCCATTTCAGAAACAGCACATCGTTTGTGCAAAACTCGGAAAAGACTCTGAAGTCTTCAGAAAAATATTTTCCCGCGGAATAAAAACAAACTGCCACAATCACTTGCAATTCAATCAATCAGTCAATCACACTCAATATAATTACTCGATATCCCTCTCCCCCTCTACTGTTACAGAAATCATACGATAATTGATAATGAACGAAGTATGTGACATTATCATACATTAATATATATTAATTGACAAATATACACCCGTGATTGACAACTGGCGATGTGTGGCTATATTCGAACGAAATTTATATAGATAAGCGAGTATGAAATTATTTAATGAGAATTAATCTGCAGAGAGGGGTAAATGTGTGCGTAAAAGAACAAGACTTAATCTCATCTCTTCCTAATTTTCCTCTTTTCTTTTTCTCTTGTTGTCTTTTTCTCTCTATTTTTTGTGGAAGTTTTGATGAGATTTGTAGCTCTTAAAAGAGCTAATATAAAGCTGAAAAGATAAAAACAACAGTTATATCCAATAATGCTGCTTAACAATAGTGACTTTATTCTAAGTTCGGCACAATAACAAAGGTTGAATGAAAGCTGAAAAAGTCGTCAGCTGATGCCAACAGATCGGACTCGCAGCCAAAAAAAGCATTATTAGACGTGAAAATCAACACTTGCAATATATATGATCTAAGGCCGGTATTCATAAAGTTATGAATCATTTAAAATCTTTAATTGAAAACAACTAATTACAGATTCATATTCATGGATTGTTCCTCAGCTATTTGGATCAATGTTTTCTTGTATGAAATAATGTAATAAATAGGTGCAGCTTAATCGAGAATCATTGAAACTTTAATTATATATCGAATGATAACAAACTATGAATGCCGGCCTAAATTTCGACTCGGGTTCATTTCTTTATTTGCGGTAAATTCGTCAAACGTTCGTTAAAAACGAGAACTTCCGGTATAATAAATGGTTTGACACACCTTGAAAATATATGATGTATCGCTGCTCACATCCTGGCGTTCTCCCCTGCTTTCTCGGTTCAGCATCCTGGCTGCTCCGTCATGGCACTGACACTGACACTCGCGTAGACACGATTTAATCGAAGACGTGTTAAATAACGCGATGCCGACGAGAGATTAATTAACGTCCAATTAATTATCTCAGAATGGTCCACGAAATAGTTCAATCACGCGAGAGTAACGAGAGTAACGATAACGCGCCGACACACGTGGTCGGTTGTGTGCGTGTCTGTGGTCGGCCCAGGACTGAATGAAAAGACTCGAAAAAGCGGAGCGAGGCGCACATGTAAACATAACCGTCTCGGGGATCGTGATGTTTTGATTCTGTAGAGACAACAGATAACGCACTAACACACGTAGCCCGTTGTGTATATGTCTCTCGCCGGTCCGGGACTGAATGAAAAGATTTGAAAAAGTTCGCGAGATAAATTTCACCGCCTTGGAGATCATGAATATTTTAATTATATTTTAATTGTATGATCGCCCGGTGTTTATTGATAAGCGACGACTGTTGACGCAGGGAGTGTGTTTACACTTCTTGCCGATTATTCGAACACTCTCGCGCGTCGCATATACTTTTTTTCGTAACTGAGTATTACATTCTACTTTAAGCAGAATATTGTAAGCGAGTGAGGAAAACGTTGAGATACAAAGAATGTCTAAAGAATACAATGCGATAAAATCAAACGAAGCGAAACAGAGATTTCTATTTGTCTTGCACCGTTACCGACCGCTGCATTATACATTAACACAGTGTTTCAACGACTCTTAAAATATTTAATTGAACTCTCGATGTCGCGTTAATTAACACGTTTTTTTCCTATTTGAATTAACACAAATGTTAATGGGCTAACGGGTTAGTTATGCAAATGATAATATCTTCCGAACACAAATTTTTATGAAATGTTAGATTTAATTGATTCTTACTAAATACAAAATTGAATATTTGAATATGACACTTATTGAGATATTTTACAGCATTAATAAGCGTATTTAAGTCATAGCGTCAATAAAAATACCCAAGTAGAAAAAAGAATGATTTCTTCTTGGCCAATTACTGGCCAAGAATTTTAGCTACTGCTCCGCTAGTAATTAGACAGAGAAAGTTTCCGTGCAGTTTTTGATCAGTTTCTAACCAAACATTTTTACAAAATTCTATGAAATATTCTGTCAAATATCATTCGATTTCACTCTGTAAAATTTATGTTGTATTACTCAATATAATAATAATGTCAAACTCGTATTTGAAAAAGTGGAATTTTCTTATAAATTCATTCTTTTATTAAAATGATTGTAGCTTTATTTTTAATTACGATTCTTTCTTGTATAGTAACTGGCCAAAAAGCATTGGCTAGTATTTTCGGACTTTTTACTAGACATAAAAATTTCCCAGCATTTACTTATCACTTTTTGTTGCTTAATCTCAATGTAATAGCTGGTCAAGAAATACTAGTTAGTCTTCTGTTCGTTTTCTAAATAGTTACTATCTAATAAATCCTAGCTAGTAAAAACTGGTGACCAAAGCCTCCAGGAAATTTTTATACTTGGGTGTTTATCAAGTGGCCTCGAAAAAAAAACGTTCTGTTGATCATAGAATAATGTTAAAGGGGAAGCGGGGGAGTATAATATTCAACATCAATATATATTCAACATTCTTAAATCAAAATCTGCAGAAATATCGTCATCTTCATCGTCCACAGGATTATACAATGGAATAGTTTGCTCTTTCATTATTGCTGGTTCACTATTCTTCCAGATTGGAGAAACGGCGGTCGATGTCGGCATTGCGTTGTGCAAATGCCAATTTGGATTTCGATCAAATTGCGCGCAAAAAACGCGGCTGCCATTAGGGCCTTGTCTTTCGCTTATGAGGAGACCCCTAATGAACGTGATGATGAATTAACAACTGACGCAAAATCAACCGATGTCAAAGTAACAGGTGCAATTTCGTTAGCTCATCTTTCACCGGTGGCCCTCCGTTAATTGATTGATAACAATTAAGCGGACATAACGCGTTTTGTCAATGGACTTTTAATTAAGCGGATGTTGCAGCGCGTGAAATGACCGATACTTTTGTCACACGTCGAATTAATTATAATTAGTGATGATCAGCGCGAAAATACACACATGGAGCCAATTTTAGGTACTCTGTTGCTTATTTGCGCGCGCGAGCTTGACTGTGAACTTCTGCTTCCCGATAAGATATCATGAATTTTGCGTTCGCGTATGTTTCACTTACCTATTAATGCACGTTTCGATGTTGTAGTAAGCGTTGAAACACCGCTTGCATTTCGTGAAGTATATCTTCCCGACGTTGAACGCAATGAAACCAGATGTTTTCTTCAAACAATCGTAAAACTGCAAGTCGCACTCGCACAACAAGCTGCAACAGCATGTGGAAAATGCGTTTGTAGGCTGAACGGTTGTAATTATCGTAAATATCGCAGTACCTGCTGCACAATTTGGCGCTGTTGTACAGCCCGTATTTACTATTCCGAGGTCTTATTAAATCGTTGCAGAAATCGTGCGCCCTGCAACATGTGTCCAACTTCCAGTTAACGCCCAACTCGGAATAGTTGCTGGCGATGTTTCCTGGGCCGCACCAAAGTGTGCCTAAAAGACGTCGCGGACAAACAAAGATTTAGCTGCTGGAAAACTTGTATTCTCCAATTTTAACAGGAATAAGGTCATTAAGAGCTGATGCTGTACGTAAATAACAATTCTGTTGGTGTAACCGAATTTTCGGTTGCTCAGGGATCAGACGAAAACTCGGCTGTAGGAACAGAAAAATTCCTTTATGAATCTTCTATATAGTCAATTGTTCTCAATTGCCTCAACCGAGTTCTAATATCATTTAATGTTCAGACGAATATTTTCGGTTGCGACAACAGAAATATTAGTATTCATAACAGAGATATCGCTTCTGATCATCTAATTTTCAGTTGGTTCCTATTTGATTGCATCAACTGAAATTTTTTTTGCGTATGAATGTTTTGTGCAAATGTCTATGATGGAGAGGATAATAATGTTTGTGGTGTCAAACGCACCCGCCGAAATGATTTCTCGGTCTTTACAACATACGCGATGAATCAACCTTCCACCTACAAACCGACCCTAAATCTCCTAATATTTTTCTATAATTATAATTATTAAAAACCCCCCTTATTTTAATACTCTCCCACGCATATTGATTCCATTACTGAGTTGCGAAAAAATGATTCTTAATAGCCTTATTCCTGTCAAAATTTAAATAGGTTGTTACCTATAGAGAACCTTAATGATATTTATTTCATTTGTATTCTTCAATTATGAATTGAAATGATTTCTTACCGGGGACGATCCCGTGTCGAAGGGTTTTGAGCTGCTTCAATGAGAGCAAGAAACCCGGCAGATTCTTCAAGTTGTAAAATATCGATGCACTGCTATCATCAGCGAGCAGAACGAGCGCGCAAAACGCGATCAGATTAATCGCCCGGAATCGCCTCATTTTCAAGCGGGTTATCCTTCACTCTGAGGCGAAAAATAAAAAAAAATAAATAAATAAAAAAGAAAAAAAAAAGAAAAAAAATTGAAATCACTTTCGCGTGACTGATGGGGATTATTAATAATATTTGGCGGCGAGAGACGAGGTGAATAATGAATCACGGGTATATCTGCCGCGCGCGAGGACCGCTCAACTGGTGAGCTGTTTATCGGTGTACGACGAAAACAACAGCACGTACAAACGTTACGCAGCATAAAGCGAAACTGCCGCGACACTCTCTCTCTGTTTCGTTAAAATAAGAATAACGACGTCAATGTTGGTACACACGCATTCGTCGGGTACTTCTTCCGCACATTTTTTCCTCACCACAAGCCACATAATTCCGGACAATTCGCAACTAAAATTAAACGTATATCCCTCTCGATGCAGCGACGATTAAACGACGAGCAAGTGGCGCGCGTAGGTCGGGCTGTATCGTTTTACGCACATGAGGTCTGATGATAAAAATAAAAAAAAAAATATATATATATATGCTGTTACTGTTTTTTGTTGAAAAAGTTAAAAACGATGGAACGCACGAGGTAATCTCCGTTTTTGTCATACGAGCGCGCGTTCCTGCTTATCGGTACCCTATTAATAGACGATATAGTGAGCGCTTTTTTATCGCTTGCTTTGTTCGCCACACGCGGAAGCAAGTGGCCGTTTTATCTCACGAATGTATCCACTCTGTGTTCGATGTCAAAGCGGCAATTCGAGTCGCGGGTTAAATTGACAATGTCGATGTAAAATTAGAATTGTAGCTGGAAAAAGAGGAGCATCGGTGAACTTCGCAGTCCGTGAAAGCAGAGCTTCCGTGTCCCGGAGCTTTCAAACAGAGCTTTTGTGTTGTTTTAAAAAATTCATCTATTCATATATATCATAGAACATGGATGTTCATATATTTGTAAATATACACATTTGCATATACTTAGAACGAGTTGGCCGAACTGACGTTGCGAGAAAAAGGTGACAATGAGAGACAACACGTTTCCTACTAAGTGAATTTAACGATATGAATATGTCGAGAATAACAGTTCGTCGGCGAGCTTTCGCTGAAAAGGAGTCTATTTATGCCCGCTTAAAGAAGCATGAACAGCTGAGGGGATTACAGTGCAAAAACATGCCTATTGTGAAATTATTTAATATTGTTCATGTAACGCTGAAACTAATGCGATACAATAAATCGCGGAGAATTGTCTGCCTGGGGAAGAAAAAGAGACAGAGAGAACTGAAACAAAATGGGGTCGCAGGTACCTTCCTGCGTTTCTGGCGGAGCTTTTTAGAGCTTTCTCTACATTATTTCAACTGGCCGACCAACCAACCCCCCTCTGTCAACCCCTTGAGGCCTCTTTCGCTCGACTGCGCATTCCTTTTAGCGATTTCGTCCCCCTCGGCCGCGACATCCGCTTTCGTTTCACGTTCTTCTCTCGTTCTTCAAGGTTTCCGTCTGCCGCCCGCCCTGCACTTACTTCGACACCTTTCACGCTCGCATCCGAGAGAGAATCCTTTTGAAATAGTGAGCGAGGAACTGCGGACTTTGGAACGTTATGAGAATGCGATGAAGACGCGAAGAAGTTAACTGTAAATTTAATCGAACAGCCTTCAGTCTAACAGCTGCTTTCTCAGTGATCACAATCTCGATTGCGATCACTTCTTAATGCATGCGCTTCCCTTTCACTTTATCACAAAATCCATAAAAATTCATTGCTCTCTATATTTGATTTACTTTTTCATTTTTCAAATAACACAACTGTATGACGCGTGTTATCGTTGATTAAACGCGTTGATAAACGCGCGATTTTCGGCAAAATTCAGTCGGTTTGAGTGCGTCGTGCACGCGTATTGCTAAGAAAGATACTGCTGAGAATGTGCTTAAAGAGGACCAATGCTGGCGGGAAAATTCGTCGATTCAAGAGACTGCGATATAATTAGCGGGGAAGCTGCGTACGCGAGACGATTAACAGTTGCATAAGGAACTGCCTGCGAGGCAAGGAGAAGGACGAGGAGGAGGAGGAGGAGAAGGAGGAGGAGAGGGTAGGAAGCAGCTTGCGTCTCGGTGTACGGAGGGTAGTTTGCGTTGAACCTAGTGTTCGCGTGTCTGTGTTGGGCACAAAAGGTTTGACATACGTGTGCGCGTGCTACCCGCTTGGGGTTAATGCACCAAGAAGCGCATTACCGGGAGTGCTTACCGCGAGGGAAAGAGGAGCGAGTGCAAGGCCAGCAGTCGCCGCGATGTACGCAGCCCTGGCCGCCGGAGGGGAGAGAGCGTCACAAAAATGTCGGCGACTAAAAAAATTCGAGTACACCGCCCGACCACCCCCGAACCTGTACTGGCTGATGGAAAGCCGCTGTTATGGTTTCCTCGGCTAAGAATTATTAAACGCGCTGAATCCCTCAAGTATTAAGCAAAACTAGTCGATGTGCCTACGAGAAGGAGTGCGCGAATAAATGTACGCTCGGTGACGGAAAGGTTGCAACGTTCCTTTTCTTTCTGTTCAATGAAACTCGCAGTGCCTGTCAGAAGAATTCAGTAGTTCTCAGAAGAGAAATTTTCTGATCGGATGCGTTCTGAATTTCATCGAGGCAAAAATGTCGCAATCTTTCCTACCGAAGTGATTGCTGCGAGTAGGAACTCGCCCCGAATCTGATCTAATCCCCCGCTAAGCGACAGTGACTTTTTCCTACGCACATCACTTCAGAGAATCGTTCGTGTCACGATTCGATTTGTTCCCTCGCGAAGGGAGGCGAGATAAATTCCCGCGACTTAAGCGCGCTATGGCCAATGCTTTATTCTCGGTGACAGGGATCGACATGTGATTATTGACATGTTATGTATCGCATGACACGCGCTTACACGTTTCACTATTCTATGCACTCGGACTTGGCTAGTAATTGAAATATGAGAAGAGATGCTCGTTTCTCGTTACCTTCCATTAAGGGAGGTAAGGAAGTAACTTGCTACTTGACTCGCCTACTGGCTTCGCGCAAAGCTGGCATTATTCCTACCAGCGACGTCATTCCCGGCAGCTTATGCGCGAACGCCGGTTGACGACTTCGCCCCTCGTGGAGCCGGGAGGGTCGCGCGGAGCGGAATTCGCCTCGGCGAACAAACGAGGGAAATTATCTGCAACGACTAAAGTAATAACATTTAACTGTGCACCGCGCGCGCGCGAACCAGCCCTCGCGCGATCCCGTCGAGGGGCTGGTGGAGGACTGGCAGCGCGAGAGAATTATAAATTGTTGGGGCATAGTTGCGATTGTTTCGAGCCGAGGGTGAGAAGCTGCCGCGTCTTCCCACCCCTTGTTTGCGAAGGCGAAGACGATTATTCTCGTCCTATTTGCGCGACTCCCCGAGCAGCTCCCGAGTATTGGTCGCGACTGCGAGGAAAAAGATTCCGGCCGCTGTGCGAACCTCCGTTGACTTGCCAACATTTTCAAACTCCGCGTCCCCAAGTTTGTGCTTTCAAGTGGATCGTCGTGAACGAATGGCTCATTTGTAATACAATGATTATTATTTATGCTGCTTCATACAATGGAAATCTAATCTCCTTTTGTAAAATCTGAAAATTTTGACTTACTCTTTGCTAAAGGGTAATTGAGACACTGTTTGGATCCAATAATAGACCGTAACCAAGAAACGTTATTTGTTCCTAACGTAACAAGAAGTTATCTTCTAGTTTGTATCTTGAAGTATCTTTAAAAACCTATGATTATTTTACTGTGTTGTGATGAACAGTCTTGTAAATAAACAATCTTCCTTTTTCAGATTAACGCGAACCCCTCAGGTTCTGGTTGGAAGTTGAACACATTTCCCTTTTACACGCGATCGACGGCGGTATTTACGAGTAAAAATATGTCAAATCGTAGTATTGGGAGTTTTTGGTATAGCAGTCTTTGCCTTTCTGTCTGAATCTTCAAGGAACCGCAACTCCTTTTGCCGTCGTCCCTTCTTAGCCGCCGTGCTTTCACAAGCAACCATCCGCAAGAGAATCCTGCTCTAAGCAGCCGGAAGCTTTTTCCTACCTTAAACGTTTCTCTTTCATTGCGCGCGCTCTTTTTGCGGCTACGGGGTCGGCAGTCACGAGAATGCAAGAGCCCGGACTCGGAAGTTCTCCACCTAAGGCCCGTAATTACGTGTCCGGGAAACAGGAGGGGTGGCGGACGGGAGAAAGAGATGGACACGAAAGATACCGGTGGAAGACGAGGGCGCGCAGTATCCGGCTGCGAGGCTCGCGCTTCGCCGGACTCGACTGATTTATATCGAGCTTCGCTGGACGCTGGTCTCGATCTTAACCGGATTTTCGAGGGTTTACGCCGCCCGGCTTTCGGAATTCCGGCCAAGAATTTCCTCGAATCCGCAGCTCCAGCCGGATTGATTCACCGCCTTTATTTCCGATGGAAAGTCGCGAGATCGAGTCGCGATTTATTAGTAACCGAGCGAGTGTGTCTATCTATATCGGAAATTTTCAACAACTTTTCGGGACTTTCCTTTCCTCAAATAGAGCTGCAGTATTCAAGATTAAATTCACAGTAATCACGCCTGAAATTTAAAAAACCGCAAAAATCACGCTCAAAGATTTCCAACGTTCAGCAAGATTCAGTCATTTGATTGCATCTTATCGAACTAATTCGTTCATTTCCAATTCGTTTATTCTCGATCGATCGCAACAGCAAAGCTATGAGTGCTCCGGCACTTTAATTACAGAAAATTTCAGCCCGAATTGGTCAAAGAGAATTCTTTTGAGCATCGCCGTTGAAAGTTTCGTTGCATCTCGTGCATAAACGAGCATGAAGGTGCTCGAGCCATCGCTACTCTCTGACTTCGCATATCGGAGCCATCGCTGGCTGCGAATTCGAGCTGGAGAAGTCGAGTTTTCGACTGCGTCGTTGGCTTGTCTCAGACAAGCAGCCGCTTTCAGATTACTTGATAATTTTCGTTATTCTCGTCATGTCGCAATCTGCAAGAAAGACTCCGTGAGAGGCACTCAAAGTTCCAAAGCAGACGACAACGCGTGACTCCATTAAAAGTCCCCTCAGGAACTGGCGTTCGATTATAATAATAACTCTTGATCGTCGATGTGCCACCAAATTCCCTCTCTGCGTCGGACGTTTCTTCCCCCGGCAGTGCATCGAGAAACATTTGGAAAGGTTATTATGCGCGAGAAAGGTTGCGGTGGGCTTTCAGAGAGCTGATAAAGATTCTCTCATTCGCACGTATACTCCGCGCGTTTAGCA